TCACCCTATGACAGGACTATACAACACCTCCCCCCCCCCCCCCCAGGATTTTTATTTTCATTTTTTGATCCTGCCAGAATTTGAGCCTGTGTTCTCTGCCTGTTACATTGTTCCCAGCTCTTTCTATAGACTACAGAACCCCCCCCCACATGAAGAAAAGGAGCGGGGAAGGTGTTGTGTAGTCCTGGTCTAGGGTGATAGTGTTCAATCACTATATACTGTATGTAATCATCTGACCCGCTCCGGAGGGGCGCTTTACTGTCTCTAAATTCAGGAAGGGAAATTGTCATTATGGCAGCTTATCAGTCACATTGTTGCCAGCTCTCTATATGAACTACAGAACACCTCCCACACGTGCTATGAAGGAAAGGGGAAAGGTGTCCTGGAGACCTGTTCTACGGTGACAGCACTCACTCGCACTCACTCCCTATATCATATCTATTGTGGTGCAGTGTTCTCACTCTTGGGCAGGACTACAGAACACCTTCCCCCTCTCCTTTATAAACACTTAAAAAAAAAATCTCCTCAGTATTTTTTTTTGTTTCACTTGTTGATCCTGCCAGAAATCTGGTAACATCCTGTCAGTTACATTCTTTGGAATAAAGACCCCTCCAGGGGCGGACTGACAACTCATGGGGCCCCCGGGCAATAGGGGATCATGGGGCCCCCGGGCAATAGGGGATCATGGGGCCCCTGTGTCCTTGCCCAAACTCAAAAAAGCCTATGAAAAAGGTACCAGGGGCATCTTATGGGGCCCCCTACTGACCCCGGGCCCTCGGGCGGTGCCCGAATTTCCAATCGGTCAGTCCGCCCCTGGACCCCTCCTACCTTCTCCAAAACACAGAGGGAGGTGTTCTGTAGATCAGAGAGTGGCTGGGAACAGTGAACCTGACAGTGAAGCATGCGCAGACACACATACACAGGAATCGAATGCTGTCTGTTTTCTCCCAAATACCTAGCAGAGAGCAGCATCACGTCTGTGCATGTGCTGCAGATTCTCATGCATGCGCACACACACTGCTGGGATCTGGGATCTTGTAGGGCCCCGCTGTACATGCGCAAATCCTGTGCACATGCACAGACATCCTGCTGAGATTTTGTAGGGCCCCAATGTACGTGCCCAAATCCTGTACGCATACACAGACATCCTGCTGCTGTCTGGGATTTTGTAGGGCCCTGCTGTACATGCGCAAAGCCCTTGCACGGACATCCTGCAGGTATCTGAGATCTTGTATGCGCAAATCCCGTGAACATACACAGACATCTTGCTGGGATCTGGGATTTTGTAGGGCCCCAATATACGTTCACAAATCCTTGCCCATGCATAGACATCTTGCAGGTATCTGGGATCTTGTAGGGCCTTGCAGTACATGCGCAAATCCCGTGCCAATGCGCAGACATCCTGCTGATATCTGGGATCTTGTAGGGCCCGCAGTATGTGCACAAATCCCGTGCGCATACACAGACAACCTGCTGGTGTCTGGGATCTTGTAGGGCCCCGCCGTACATGCGCAAATCCCGTGCCCATGCGCAGACATCCTGAAGGTATCTGGGAACTTGTCAGACCCGAAGTACGTGCGCAAGTCCTGTGTGTATACAAGACATCCTGCTGGGATCCGCGATTTTGTAGGGCCCCCGCTATACATGCACATGTGCAGACATCCTGCAGGTTTCTGGGATCTTGTATGTGCAAATCATGTGTGCATTCACAGACATCCTGCTGGGATCTTGCAGGGCCCCGCTGTACATGTGCAAATGTACCCATGTGTAGACATCCTGCAGATATCTGGGATCTTGTAGGACCTCGCAGTATGTGTGCAAATCCCGTGCTCATGCGCAGACATCCCGCAGGTATCTGGGAACTTGTCAGACCCGAATTACGTGCGCAAATCCTGTGTGTATACACAGATCTCCTGCTGGGATCTGGGATTTTGTAGGGCCTCAATGTACGTGCGCAAACCCTGTGTCCATGCACAGTCATCCTGCGGGTACCTGGGATCTTGTATGGCCTCGCCGTATGTGCACAAATCCAGTGCCCATGCGTAGACATCCTGCTGATATCTGGGATATTGTAGGGCCCACAGTACGTGCGCAAATTCTGTGCGCATACACAGACATCCTGCTGGGATCTGGGATCATGTAGGGCCCTGATGTACGTGTGAAATCCTATGCCAATGCACAGACATCCTGCGGGTACCTGGGATCTTGTAGGGCCTCGCCGTACGTGCACAAATCCTGTGCCAATGCGCAGACATTCTGCAGGTATATGGGACCTTGTAGGGCCCGCAGTACGTGCGCAAATCTTGTGCACATACACAGAGATCCTGCTGGGATCTGGGATTTTGTAGGGCCTCAATGTACGTGCGCAAATCCCATGCCCATGCGTAGACATCCTGCTGATATCTGGGATATTGTAGGGCCTCGCAGTACGTGCGCAAATCCTGTGCGCATACACAGACATCCTGCTGGGATCTGGGATTATGTAGGGCCCTGATGTATGTGTGAAATCCTATGCCCATGCGCAGACATCCTGCAGGTATCTGGGACCTTGTAGGGCCCGCTGTACGTGTGCAAATCCTGTGCGCATACACAGAGATCGTGCTGGGATTTTGTAGGGCCCTGATGAACATGTGCAAATCCCCTGCCCATGCGCAGACATCCTACAGGTATCTGGGATCTTGTATGCGCAAATCTTGTGCGCATACACAGACATCCTGCTGATATCTGGGATCTTGTTGATGCTGCAGCCATGGGCGGACTGACCATTTGGAAACAAGGGCCCGGGGTCAGTAGGGGGCCCCATGAGATGCCCCTGGTACCTTTTTCATAGGCTTTTTTTTTTAGTTTTTGGCAAGGACACAGGGGCCCCATGATCCCCTATTGCCCTGGGGGCCCCGTGAGTTGTCAGTCTGCCCCAGACTGCAGGTTTCCGCGGGGGGGACCAGGAAAGATCAAGTTCTTTTAAGGGACGGAGTTCCCCTTTAACAAGTTGTTGGACCTTCCCGCTACAAAGTAACAGCCAAAAGGATGCAATGTATCTTCTTAGTATCTCCGGCCCCATAGCTGTACAGCCGTTTCCATTTACAGCGGAGTTCCTCTTTAATGTACGCCGCCGCTGGCTTTTATCTTTTCCCCGCGGCGGCGGCGGCGTTCATTTTTTCGGGGGGGTTTTTTTTTTTTGTTTTTTTCTCCCTCCCTCGTGCCGGAGCGGGATGTGAAGTCATCGAGATGGAAAATATTATTACGTTCAGTAAACAACAGCTTGATGCTTTTGATTCCTCAGCGCGCCGGAGAGCAATTTTCGACTCCTTTCCGCGGTGTGGGTGTGAGCCGCCACGGTGCGGCGCCGTGCGCACTCCCAGGTGTTGCTGATGGAACCGGCTAAAAATAACGGTCTGTCGGCTTTTACCCAAATGACTTCTCCCCCCCCCCCCCCCCCCCGCCCTCTACAGTTCTCCTCGCCGCGCAGGAACAAAAGGAGCCTGACGGCTCTCTCGCCTTTCTTCTCCCGCCGAACGATTAACCCACCTGGGGAAGGCCGCCATCTCAGGCGTGCGTCCGTTTGTGCCAACGCAGGGAGTGCGGCAAACGGTTGGACGGAGGAACGGTGATACTGACACAACTCCTTCCTGCCCAGGCCAATGTTCAGCTTTCAGCGCTATCACACTTTGAATGACAATTGCGCGGTCATGCAACACTGTACCCATGTGAAATTTTTACCATTTTTTTGAGACAGATAAAGCTTTATTTTGGTGGTATTTATTCACCACTGGGATTTTTTTTTTTTTTTTTTGCTATGTAAATGAAAAAGTCCAAACATTTTGAAAAAAAAGTGTTTTTCTTACACAATTTTGCAAATAAATAATATTTCATCAAAAATCTCGGCCAAAATGTATTCAGTTATCTTTTTAGTAAAAAGAAAAATAACCCAAATTAGTTTATAACCAAAAATTATAATTTTTAAACATTTTTTTTTACATTTTTATTTTATTTTTTTATATTATTTGGTTTTTTTTGTTGTTTTTTTTACATACTGTCACCCTAGCAGTACAGTGTCCCCATGGTGACACTGTACTACATTGTGGGGGTGATGAAGATTTTGTTTTGTTTTTTTACACTGATTGCTTTTACATCCATAAAGGCTGTAAAATCAATAATTCCTCCTTCTCTCTGGCTGCATTCTTGCAGCCATTGAGAAATACTGTGTGAGCTGTGATTGGTCACAGCTTGTCACATGGTACAAGGCTTTTGTGAATAGCCCTGTACCATGTGACCTCTGTGATCATTCACAGATTTCACACGTAGTAAGCAATGATGTCAGAAGTGACATCTCGCTTACTACTATTCATGTGATCACTGGCCAATCAGTGATCACATGATCGGGACCTCACACAGGGGTCTCGTACAGCGTTCTGTGTTGCAGACACAGTGGGCACTGATCGCGGTGCTGGGAGCGTGCACAGGCACTGGAGGCAGGGGGACCATTAGAAACGTCCACTCCAGGGGATTTTTGTTTTTTTTTTTACACCGATTGCTTTTACACCCATAAAGGCTGTAAAAGCAATCATTTCTCCTTCTCTCTGGCTGCATTCTTGCAGCCATTGAGAACTACTGTGTGAGCTGTGATTGGTCACATGGTACAAGGCTGTTGTGAATAGCCCTGTACCATGTGACCTCTGTGATCATTCACAGATTTCACATGTAGTAAGCAATGATGTCAGAAGTGACCTCTTGCTTACTACTCTTCATGTGACCACTGATCCGGAGGACACAGCGGGCACCAGATCGTGGTGCTGCGCACTCCCAGGGAGCGCGCACAAGCAGGGGGCGGCCGTTTATAAACAGCCACTCGACCCTGCACTGCCACTCTCCGGCTGTTTATATACAATGGCCGGAAGGGAGGTGGTTAAAGAAAATGTTGCGAATAAAAATGTGAAGAAACATTCACATCGTTCTCCAACCTTCCATTCAGTCTTGCACAGGTGTACTGGCTCCTCCCATTCAGTCTGGCACAGGTGTACCGGCTCCTCCCATTCAGTCTGGCACAGGTGTACCGGCTCCTCCCCTTCAGTCTTGCACAGGTGTTCTGGCTCTTCCCCTTCAGTCTTGCACAGGTGTTCTGGCTCCTCCCCTTCAGTCTGGCACAGGTGTACCGGCTCCTCCCCTTCAGTCTGGCACAGGTGTACCGGCTCCTCCCCTTCAGTCTGGCACAGGTGTACCGGCTCCTCCCCTTCAGTCTGGCACAGGTGTACCGGCTCCTCCCCTTCAGTCTGGCACAGGTGTACCGGCTCCTCCCCTTCAGTCTGGCACAGGTGTACCGGCTCCTCCCCTTCAGTCTGGCACAGGTGTACCCACTCCAGTCTGGCACAGGTTACCAGCCCCTCCCCTTCAGTCTGGCACAGTGTGTACCGGCTCCTCCCATTCAGTCTAGCACAGGTGTACCGGCTCCTCCCTTTCAGTCTAGCACAGGTGTACCGGCTCCTCCCTTTCAGTCTAGCACAGGTGTAGTGGCTCCTCCCGTTCAGTCTAGCACAGGTGTACCAGCTCCTCTCCTGGACTGCAGGGGCTTCCTCTGATTTCACCGCACACTGTGAGCTTCTCACCATGTGCTGCTGCAGCTCAGATAGAGCTCCGCCTCATTTCCTGGCTGGAGGACACCCAGCATCATTTAGCGCTTTCCTCCCCAGCCTGACTGTCCTTACTCCGCCCCTATTCATCCATTGGATTTCAGTTCTTTCAATCACATGTTGGCCTGCCTAGTATTACCCACCCATCAGGGTAGTGTGATATTTACATAACTCCTCCCAGGGCTGAGGACACTCGAGAGGAGGAAGGGTACCGTACTGTGATGGTTTCAGGAAGCGATGTACAGCACCCTGCCAGCCCCTGCCACCAACTATGATTTGACTGCATCACATAGAGAATCGCAGTGACCCAGTGACATTTCTTGTATGTGATGAAAAGGTTAAAACTAGAAACTTAATTCCACAGACTTCACTATGAAGTGCGGCTTTGGCTTTCACTGAACTCGAGCAGGCTTGGGATTCATCCCGTAGTTCTGGTCTTGGACCCGAAAGCACACATTTATTATATCACAGATTACCAATTCTTAGATGTGACGTCCGCATTCGTTTTCTGTTTTAGGCCTTCTTCTGTTTTCATCTGGTGATCCAGTCAGTAAGTCTGTTGTTTTTCAAAAGCACAAGCTCGCCAGCAGAATGTTTCAGTTTACATGGATGAGACAAACCACTTAACACTGATGGGGGTCCTTACAATGATCAGCTTTTATTTATTCATGGAAAAAGGAAAACAAAACTGTTGCTGTACCTAAAGTGTGAGCTGGGGTTTGGCTGCAATTTGATAGTGTATCTAAATCTGCTAGTACATCTAACCAGGGTTTTTTTTTCTTAGAGAATAGGTGCAGGAACTCCCCTTTTCTGAGTCACCCTTTGTCTACACCCCCTACCCACCTCCGAGCACTGTCTCTTGGTTCCACCCCCTACCCACCTCCGACCATCGTGCTTTGGTTCCACCCCCTACCCACCTCTGACCACTGCCCCTTGGTTCCACCCCCTACCCACCTCCGACCACCGCCCCTTAGTTCCACCCCCTACCCACCTCCGACCACCATCCCTTGGTTCCACCCCCTACCCACCTCCGACCACCGTCCCTTGGTTCCACCCCCTACCCACCTCCGACCACCGTCCTTTGGTGCCACCCTCTACCCACCTCTGACCACTGCCCCTTGCTTCCACCCCCTACCCACCTCCGACCACCATCCTTTGGTTCCACCCCCTACCCACCTCCAACCACCGTGCTTTGGTTCCACCCCCTACCCACCTCTGACCACCGCCCCTTGGTTCCACCCCTTACCCACCTCCGACCACTGCCCCTTGGTTCCACCCCCTACCCACCTCCGACCACCATCCTTTGGTTCCACCCTCTACCCACCTCTGACCACTGCCCCTTGGTTCCACCTCCGACCACCGCCCCTTGGTTCCACCCCCCTACCCACCTCCGACCACCATCCTTTGGTTCCACCCTCTACCCACCTCTGACCACTGCCCCTTGGTTCCACCTCCGACCACCGCCCCTTGGTTCCACCCCCTACCCACCTCCGACCACCGCCCCTTGGTTCCACCCCCTACCCACCTCCGACCACCATCCTTTGGTTCTACCCCCACCCACCTCCAACCACCGTGCTTTGGTTCTACCCCCTACCCACCTCCGACTGCCGTCCCTTGCTTCCACCCCCTACCCACCTCCGACCACCATCCTTTGGTTCCACCCTCTACCCACCTCTGACCACTGCCCCTTGGTTCCACCTCCGACTACCGCCCCTTGGTTCCACCCCCTACCCACCTCCGACCACCGCCCCTTGGTTCCACCCCCTACCCACCTCCGACCACCATCCTTTGGTTCTACCCCCCACCCACCTCCAACCACCGTGCTTTGGTTCTACCCCCCCCTACCCACCTCCGACCGCCGTCCCTTGCTTCCACCCCCTACCCACCTCCGACCACCATCCTTTGGTTCCACCCTCTACCCACCTCTGACCACTGCCCCTTGGTTCCACCTCCGACTACCGCCCCTTGGTTCCACCCCCTACCCACCTCCGACCACCGCCCCTTGGTTCCACCCCCTACCCACCTCCGACCACACATCCTTTGGTTCTACCCCCACCCACCTCCAACCACCGTGCTTTGGTTCTACCCCCCTACCCACCTCCGACTGCCGTCCCTTGCTTCCACCCCCTACCCACCTCCGACCACCATCCTTGGTTCCACCCTCTACCCACCTCTGACCACTGCCCTTGGTTCCACCCCCTACCCACCTCCGACCGCCGTCCCCTTGGTTCCACCCCCTACCCACCTCCGACCACCGCCCCCTTGGTTCCACCCCCTACCCACCTCCGACCACCATCCTTTGGTTCCCCCCACCCACCTCCAACCACCGTGCTTTGGTTCTACCCCCCCTACCCACCTCCGACCGCCGTCCCTTGCTTCCACCCCCTACCCACCTCCGACCACCATCCTTTGGTTCCACCCTCTACCCACCTCTGACCACTGCCCCCTTGGTTCCCCTCCGACTCCGACCGCCCCCTTGGTTCCACCCCCTACCCACCTCCGACCACCGCCCCTTGGTTCCACCCCCTACCCACCTCCGACCACCATCCTTTGGTTCTACCCCCACCCCACCTCCACCACCGTGCTTTGGTTCTACCCCCTACCCACCTCCGACTGCCGTCCCTTGCTTCCACCCCCTAACCACCTTTCGACCCTGCCGTCCCTTGCTTCCACCACCCCCTACCCACCTCCTCCACCCGCCGTCCCTTGCTTCCACCCCCTACCCACCTTTACCACCGCCGTCCCTTGCTTCCACCCCCTACCCACCTCCGACCGCCGTCCCTTGCTTCCACCCCCTACCCACCTCCGACCGCCGTCCCTTGCTTCCACCCCCTACCCACCTCCGACCGCCGTCCCTTGCTTCCACCCCCTACCCACCTCCGACCGCCGTCCCTTGCTTCCACCCCCTACCCACCTCCGACCGCCGTCCCTTGCTTCCACCCCCCTACCCACCTCCGACCGCCGTCCCTTGCTTCCACCCCCTACCCCCTCCGACCGCCGTCCCTTGCTTCCACCCCCTACCCACCTCCGACCACCGCCCCTTGGTCCCACCCCCTACCCACCTCCGACCGCCGTCCCTTGCTTCCACCCCCTACCCACCTCCGACCACCGCCCCTTGGTCCCACCCCCTACCCACCTCCGACCCGCCGTCCCTTGCTTCCACCCCCCTACCACACCTCCGACCACACCGCCCCTTGGTCCCACCCCCCCCCTACCCACCTCTGACCAAATCCCTACCCTTGGTTCCACCCCCTAGCAAAATTATTACTTGCGGCGATACCTCATATGTGCGGTGCAGTGTATGTTTACGTGGGCGGCCTACACTGTGCATTTGCATTAGAGTGTATATGAAGGTGGGGGGCCCTTACATCTTTTTTTTTTTTTTTTTTTTTTTTTTTAATCTTTTATTACAATTTTTTTTAAAAAATTTTTTTTCTGTCATTCATATCACTTTATTGTTCTCACAGGGAGGCTAATAACCCTTTGTGATAGCTTTTGGCAGGTGACAGGTCCTCTTTTTTTTTTTTCTTTAAATCTTGTGTTTTTTTTGTTCAGAATAAACATTTTACTTTTTTTGCTTTATTACAACATTTTTTTTTTTTTTAACTATTTTTGGTATTTTTTTCCCGTCATTCATTTAACATTATTGCTCTCGCAGGGAGGCTAACAACCCTACGTGATAGCTTTTGTCAGGCCCTCTTTTTGGAGACATTGGCAGTCTTTAAGGCCCCCCCGATGTCTCCTCTTCAGCTAATCAACCACAGATGGTGCTTGATTAGCTGCATCTTCAACTATAGTAGCCGAGGAATAACGGCTCTGAAACCAGAAGTGACTTCTGTTCTGTTGCATCAGTTTACCAGGATCCTGGGATCCCGGGAAAATGGGGGAGCCCAGGAACCACAGGGTGCACCTACAGCAGGGGGTGGGGGTAGTTATTGTTTTTATGTTTGGGCACCTTCGGAGCCCCTGAAAACCCAACATCGCCTGTAAAAAAAAAAAAAAAAAAAAAATACACTCCAAGCTCACTGCTGCTACTTTTCCATCATTCAAACCTATTTCCATGCTAAACTGGTGTGTTGTCTGCAACAGGATAATTTTTTTCATATTTTTTTTATCTTTTTTAGTAATAGACATTTTTAAACTTTTATTACAATTTTTTTGTATTTTTTTTTTTTTAACTATTTTTTTTTTTTTCCATCATTCATTTTTTATCTTGGAGGCTATAACTCTATGTTAGCTTTTGGCAAGCGAATCCTACTTTTTTTTTTTTATCATTTTTTTTATTTTAGAATTACAATTTTTTTTTTACATTTATTACAATTTTTTTTTTTTTATTTTTTTACTTTTTTAACTATTTTAAATTTTTTTTCCATCATTCATTTAACTTTATTATTTTCACAGGGAGGCTAATAACTCTATGTGATAGCTTTTGGCAAGCGACAGGTCCTCTTTTTTTTTTTTTTTCTAGTGTTTTTTATGTTTTCTTCAGAATATACATTTTTTTTTTTTACATTTATTACAATTTTTTGTTTTTTATTTTTTTTTTTTTAAACTATTTTTTTTTTTTCCATCATTCATTTAACTTTATTCTCACAAGGAGGCTAATAACTCTATGTGATAGCTTTTGGCAAGCGACAGGTCCTCTTTTTTTTTTTTATCTAGTGTTTTTATGTTTTCTTCAGAATATACATTTTTTTTTTTACATTTATTACAATTTTTTTTTTTTTTTTTTTTTTTTTTTTTTTTTAAACTATTTTTTTTTTTTTTCCATCATTCATTTAACTTTATTCTCACAGGGAGGCTAATAACTCTATGTGATAGCT